CTGCAATGCATGTGGGCATTGTCAGTTTAACTATAGCTCTGGTGAATTTCAATAGTGAAATCCTTTGGAAATCTTCAATAATTGTTGTTGATTGCTTGGATGTGACTAGTAGTTCCCATTGTAAAGTGGGGAGAATGGCGCTAGGCTTACCGCACCGTGACGTCACTGCTGGAAGATGTCAGGAGTGAGGTGTTACTATATGTGTGAAAAAATGGCTGCTCCCAGACTCAGAGATCACAAGAAAAATTATACCTTTTATTTCTTTACTGTTTAACTCTAAATTCATTAAATCCCTACAAGCGTATTAGTTTTAGGTATAAATAATGACCCATTGGTTATTTCTTGCTGACTTTTCCATTAAAGCACTGAACTGAGGGGCTATGAATCAGTCACAGACATGCAAACAAAAACGGTTGGATAATAAATATGTGGTGCTTCACAATTACATTAAAGCAGGTATAGAATATAGTTTGGTATATTGACTGTAACAACAAATTCACTGCATCTTGTCCCCTAGATTTGGTTAAACTAAACACAATGAATTCACCAGAGAGACCGGTGAAGTTCCATCAAAGTTAAAAGAGTTAAAAAACAAACCACTGGACTTTGTTTTCGAAGCATGAAGATGTTTCGCTTTCCATCCAGGAAGCTTTTTCAATTCAAAATGTCGGAAGTTATTAATTATTACATCGATGATAAATGTAGAATAACCTTTAGTTAATTAGTTAAATTGCTAATTATTTTTACTTTGATTTTTTTCCCCGTACAGTATAGAAATTAAAACAACCACTATTTTACATAAATTACTGGAGGAAAACAAAAATCCACATAGGTTTAAATTAAAGTAGCATTAATTCATCTAATCATCAGTTGAATAGAAAAGCAGAAATCTGACCAATTTAGACCTTTATTTATTTATCATGGAAATTTCTCTGCAATAGTTGCTCCAGATGCTTGTTTGTTCCAGATGATATTATCAAGTTAAATCAAAGTTGGGAAAGACCCTCATAAATATTCTAATAGAAATAGAAATACTTTGAAACCAGGGAACCACTAAGACCGTTGGAGGCGAAACATCATCAGCCAATGGTTGACGACCCTCGCTGAATATTTGCTGCGTTCCGTGTGACGGATGAGAAAAGGTCTTGATCTAAACGCTTCCCGCTGAATATTTCGGACAGCGATCAGACAGATCACAGCCGGTCCGTAGAGAAAGCTGTGAATCATCTATGATCAATCCGTCTGCAGGTGCTCCACATGGCTGCGTTCTTTCACCACTGCTGTTCACCCTTTCTACCAATGATTTGTAGCATTTAAATTCACATATTTCTACCATTATTTATCGTCTGAACTGATCAGAATTATCACAGAGCTGAGCTCTGAAGAAAATCCTCCTCCATCCATCATTATCAACACTAACATCAAAGGTTTTCAGTCACACGTTGTCTAAGATTTACATTTACTGAGATTATAGAAAGCGCTGACCTGACAATGAAACTAGACTTCCTATTAACCTTTCTAAGAAACTATTCAGATGTTTTGTTCTTACTTTGCTGCCTTCTTCTTGGCTTTCTTCAGCTTCTTGGTCATTTTTTTCTGCACTTCCTGTTCCGTCAGCACGGTGAACACTTCTAGTACTGCATCATTCCCCTGAAACAGATGAGAAAGAAGTATTATTCATTTGACACAGACAATATAAACCACAAATACCTTAAATTTTCCAGATTTCGCTTCTAGAGCTTTCAGTTCTGCGCAATTCGCTTATTAAAACTACAGACTAATATCACAGCTGGCAGAAGAGGGAAAGAAGGTATGAAGTGAATTTTCTGCCAAAACCTTGCATACAAAAAAGCATGTTGCGCTCACACATAAAGCATGTTTCACACAAACAAATCTTATAAAAATTGTGTTGCAAACTCTCCTCAAGTGTCGCACACAAATTAAACTTGTTTTTCAAACCATCCTTAAATGTTGCACTCAAAATATAATTTATAGAGAGAATTAATGAGTCAATATAAAACACAAATATAAATTTAATTATTCAGTTTGACAAAGGAAAAAGTAATATTCCTGCTGCCTATGATATGTACACATGCACTCCATTCACTATTTCATTTTCTATTACAGGACTATGGTTAACAACGGTTTTCAAAGAGATGAGAACATTTAGACACCGTGAAACAATAAGATTTTTTAAGGAACATTTTGAAACAAACATAAACGTTGGCTTTCAGAGAAAGGAGTAGTCACTGCTGTCAGCTTCCTGTTATGAAGCAAACGTTTGTGTTTTCTTTTCTTAATCAATATCACTGCCGAAATTCTGCTATAACAGAAGGGAAGAATAAAATAACGGCGCTCATCTTTTATAAACATATCTGAAGTTTCACATTTAGTAGGTTGGAAATGAGGTGGAATTAACTCTATCAGCTCTTTCTACTCATGCGCGCTCCAGCGAGGGGATTCAAATTGTCGCAGGCATAACTACCTTCACACCGACACGTTTTAGTCATTCAGATTGGATGGCGCCTCCTGCTGTCGGTTAGTCAGAATGACAATTCTTCATTTATCATGTGACTTTTGGCAGAAATTTGCCGTGGAGTGTAAAGAATTGTCTCATACGCAAGGAGAGGCTGTTTTCTACGCGAGCAGAGATCATTTTGTACTCGGGGACAATTTATAAATTATACTTTGAGTGCAACATTAGAGTCCGGCTTGTTAAACTAGCTTTTTTATGTGTGCAACATTTAAGGACAGTTTGAAAAACAAGTTTTATTTGTGTGTGACATTTGAGGAAAGTTTGTAACACAAGTTTTATTTGTGAACATTAAGATTTGTTTGAGTGCGACATGCTTTATGTGTGAGCGCAATATGCAATGTTTTGGCAGAAATTTCACTCCATAAGAAGGATGGATGCAAGGAGAGGTCACAAGGAGGGATAATGGTTCATGGATAAGAGATCAAGAGAAAAGAAGAAAGCACCAAAGAAAGAAGTGGAGGTATGAAAGAGAAGGAAGGCTGGAGTTAAATAAAGGAGGAGAGGCTCAATGAGGAAAGGAGAAGAGGACACAAGAGTAGGAAGAAGGAAAGGAGGCGAAGTCTGATCATACCAAGATTCTTTTTTGCCCCTTTTTTTTTATATGGTGCCAGAACTCCAAAAAGGTCTGAATATTCAGTGATTTTACTGTAGAATAAAAATCTTTATTAGGTTTAGTTTTGGATTCCTTGAATGCTATGTTGTTCATCTTTGGCAAAAACAGAATATTATTATATTATTATTTAAAACAGTTCATTTAACTGGGATTTAAGTGTTTTCCAGTTAAAAACTGCTTTTCTTGACCAGAGGCAGCTAATTTTTCCCTCCTCTCTCTCAAAACACTTTCTTGATTTTTAGTAAAGAAAAATTGAAGCATAAAAAAAAACAAATAACAAATGAAATAAAATCTTAGGCAAAGAAAGTTAAATGTTTAAAAGCTTCCGAAGCAACTGAAAGAAAAAACCGTGTCCTCTTTATTATTTAACCGCTTGTAATTATTCTTTGAGTATTTAAACAGAGGGCAGCAGCGTGACGGCATCCTGTGATCTTCTGCTCAAAGCTAGGAACATTTTATTTGATAGAGCAGCGTGGTTAATAGTGGGAAAAAGAACAGGGTGTCTCCTTTAAGAAAAAACAAACAGCTGAAGGAGACTGGGCTCACATGACAGGCGATCACTCTGGCCTTGGTGTCTGCGGTCAGGGAGACCACCCGATCTCTGGCTTCTCTCAGGATGGAGCCGGCCTTCTTGCAGCTCAGGATGCGCTGAAGAGCAGAAAGTGACCCGGTTACGCCACCCATCAGAGCGCCGACTGTCCTTAGCTACACACTTTGAACACCTCTGTACCTCTTCCAGGGTCTCCTCCTCGCTGTCATCATCAGCTCCATCGTTTTCCTCCAGCAGAGATTTTCCCTTCTTCACTTTGGGTTCACCTTCAGCTTTTTTCTGACCAGGATGCAGAGCGTCAGACAGAAAGAAATGAACAAAGAGAGATGAACTAATGGGCTGGGAAACGCTGCCCTTTAAGAGGAGAACCGACCTGAACCACCAGTACAGAGAAATTATCCAATGTTTTTGCTTCTGATCTATTCCTTATGTCCTTTCCCCCCAAGCTGCGTTCATTCTCACCTCCTCCAGGTAGCTGATGTCCCAGGCGCGGAGCTCGCTGTCAGCTGATCCGGTCAGAAGCCGGTTCTCCTGGTCCAACAGAGCCATTCCCCACACCTGAAAGAGAGCCGGCCTCTTTAGACTCATCACAGCTTTATCTGACCTCAGTTTGCTGCGAAAGGAGGAACCAGGATTCCTGCTGATGGCAAAACTACGCTAAACCAATCAGATCCTCTGAGCAGGAGTCAAACTGAGTAACTTTTGACTGGATTAATAAGAAGTCGCCTCAGTGGTCTAAATGATTGAATCGTACTAAATGCTGCACAGTGAAAAGCAATTAAGCTCCTAAAGGCAATGCTTTACGCAGAGCTGAAAGTCATCGGTCTGTCAATATCAGAAAAGAAAATTTACCTTCTTTTTAGAGGAAATGTTAAATGCCTTGTAGCTGTATATACCCGTCTAGCCTACCATCAAATTGAGGACCAGTTGTTGTAAAATGAGGACATTTTGCTGGTCCTCACATGCTATTTAGCTAATGGTTAGGTCTAGGGTTAGGGTGTCAGTTGGGTTGGGGTGAGATATTCATTGATAATGCTTAGGTTTAGGTTATAGAAAGGTTTGAAAATGACTGAAAATCAATGGAAGTCCAAACATGGTCCTCGCCACAATAGAAGAACGAGAATGGGTGTGTGGGTGTCGCTCTTATATTCATATTTATTCAAAAACTGAGGGGGAGAAAAGAGTTTTAAATTGAAAAGATGCTTTATTTTGTTGATTATATGTTTTCTGCTTAACAAGTGATTAATTTTAATTAGTTAATTACAGACCCTGCAATTAACTCGATTAAATATTTTAACATTGTGTAACTTTTGGCCACCAGGAGGTGCTAGACTGCTAATTTTCTGAATTTTCTGAAAGGCAGAGGCAACTAGAGCTGTTAAAACTATCGTTTTCCACTAAAGATCAATTTCTACAACTAAACATTTGTTATGTATTCTCCGTTGTCCTATGATAAAATATGATGGTTTACTACAAATTCATAATTCAAGTAGAAACTGAAAAATTATTAGAATGCCAGCGATCTAATTGTAGATAGAAACAAGGTAAAAAAGAATAGAGTCTGTATCCTGAGAATCAGAATCAAATGAATTCTGTCATTTGAACGGATAGGAAGCCCTACAGTCACTAAATTAAACCGTTTCCCTCTGTGTGTTAGAATCTGATAGCAGACCAATTTAGACGGAGAAGTCATGGAGTTGTAGTGTAAATCCTACATCAGAGAAATAAACTCATGTTTGTTTAGTTAAAGTTCAGATTAAGTTAGCTCTGATGAGGAACTCAGAGTTGCTTTAGAGAAACACTGGAAAAACGATCAGAAATAAGTAAAAATGTGTTAAATTAAGTGTATTTACCCTTAATTTGAGCTTTTAAATTAGATAATTTGCCAATTGAATGAGTATTTTTACTCTTAAAATAAGATAATTAGATAACATGCACTTGAAATAAGACAATGAAATTGGGTTTTTTTTTGGTTTTTTTAAGTATAAATTGCTTATTCCTTTGTCAAAGTGTCTCTTTTACTTCCTCAAACAAAGAACAAATGCACTTTTAAGAAAAAATGACTTCTCTAGATTTCCATTTTTTCCAGTGTGGCTTGTATTAGTGTTTTTTTTTCTTGTTATGTACATGCGGAAATTTATTACAGCATTCAGCAGCTCAGCTTTGAGATCATTTCGATTTCAACATAGTGTTGGTAATGTATGACAACTTCTAAAACAATATTTCTCTTAGGAAGTTAAGCCCTTAAAGTCTCTAAACTGTGAACCGATAAAAATGTATTTCCTCCTTTTCTAAGTGGATCCCTATTAATGCTGCTCTGTGTGCAGCGCAGGAAGCTCTCACCTCACTGCGGTGTCCCACCATGGTCTTGAAGCAGTGCTGAGTGTCCAGATCCCACCACTTCACAAACGTGTCCTTAGAGCTGAACAGCAGAAACACAAAAGGTTACGACGGCCTCAACATGATTTATAATTTCCTCTCATCGTTTAAATTTACACTAAACAGAAGTTAGAACAGATACTGTTGGACATCGATGCCATTCAATCGAACGCTGATGAGATTTTCTACTGGAGTCTGTTCTGGAGATAACATTCCTGCTTGTTTTTGATCTATTAAGAACTAACTTTATTATCGATTATGTCATAAAATGTTTTATTTTACAGAATCCCAGTAAAATAAATGCTACTTTTTTAGGTCTCTAAAGCCGCTGTCACACCTTGACGATTTACACCAACGAATGCCTGACGTACGATACATCTGGCATAAACGCTGACATATGTTGTATAAGTTATGGGTACGCTGAAGCACGCTAGAACACGCTGACGTACGGCAAGAAATTTTTAACATAATTAAAATTTCTCGCCGTATGCCAGCGTATGCTCCTGCGTGGGGAATAAGTTACAGGTGATTTGATCGCTGACATATGTTAAGTGTAAGTTACTCTTAAGTCATGATGTCTAGCTCATCCAAAACCTATGAGTAACTTCTGCATAACTTAGGCGTAGCTTATAAAGAACTTATCTCCAACTCTTAACGTAACTGACGTGTTCCAGACGAGCGCTGAACATACTTCTAACTTCCTCGACTCCTCACCTCCTAGTGACGATCTGCGGTATTACTGCCGGTATTGAAGGAGGAAATCAAGCAGTTGGTGGTGGTAATGCACCAAAAGTTGTTTGCCAACCTCCAATAAACACAAGAAGAAGAAAACGAAGGAGGAGGGAATCAAGCAAATCAAAATGGCGGCACCCATCACATTCAGAAAGTTATGCTTGATTATTATTGCTGTACTTCGGTGTTATTATTTAAAATGCCATTATTTAAAATGTTGCGTGGAGAAGATTTCGATTGTTGTTTATAGTTGAAGAAGAAGTTGTTCTTCTTCTTCTGTTTCTGGAGGGGCATTACCGCCAACTACTGGGATGGAGTGTGAATCGAGATGTGCAGCCAGACGGAGATTATGGTTCTGCTCATGCGCTCTTGTTATCAAAGAACCGAGCCAGGGAAAAACGAGCCGAGCCCACCTCTGGAACTGGTCTGCAGTTAGCACGGTCCGGTTGTGTCTAGCTCGGTTCAGTTCAGTTTGCTTTCCATTTACACACGATAAGTTATCTCAGTTACTGAGCTCGGACCGGTCTTGGCACGGTTTTTCAAGGGTAGTGTAAATGGGGTATATGTATGCTCCCAAACTTGATAAATACAAAGAAAGTTCAGCGTATGGCAGCGTTTTAGAAGATCCTGGGACGTCAGGCATACGCTGGCTAAATCGTCAAGGTGTGACAGGAGCTTAAAAGGCTCAGAGCTCCTTAGATTTTATATGCAAACAGTGAGAAAGGAGGCAACGGCTGATCAGGTTCAAGGCTGCCGACCTTGTGACCAGGAGGTTCTTGTCTTTAAGGAACAAGGCCTGTGTGATGAGGTCCTTGTGTCCCCTCAGCCTGTACAGTCCACACTCATTGATGATGTCCCACACAATCACATCTGTGTCCTGAAAAGAGAGAAAAGCTGCAGCTAATTAAGAAGAAAGAAAATGCACAGAAGAAAAAAACCTCTCAGTAATGTGGTCCTAAAACTCTCCATCAGGGAAACTTCTCAAAGAGTTTGCTTCCCTTCTGAACTTTTGCCTCGTTACAAACTTTCATCTGGGTTTTGTGTAACAGGCCGACACACACAGGTGTGACTGTGAGGAAGTGAGACTGTATTCAGCTTCTAGAATAAACCAAGTGCAGCTCAAATGACGTGATGCAAAAACACAGAAAACAACAAACTCAGAGCAGTTTTAATGGGGAGACAGTGAAGCAGGACTTTACCTTTTAATGAAAGATTTCACCTGATTAAGGAGAAAAAGGGCAGAGAGTTTCCATATCAGAGGAGGAATATTAATGGAAACAATCATGGCGGCTGGGAGAGAAGTTTTGTACTTTTACAATTACGAAAAAAGGTGAGTAAATTCAGCCCATGGCAACGAGATTTTTATTACAATAAACCTTCATAATGAATTAAGCAACAACAGATTTTCTCTAAGCTAAAATTAAGCAAACAATATTTGAAAAGAAACATTTTTGAGGTAATGTTTGTAACATCCTGCAGCCCCAAAACCTCCAGCTTTGTTTCTAACTGTTGAGCTGTTTGTACCGTCAGCTTTCTGTTCTTCTTTTACATCTTTAGAAACAAAGTGAACCGTCTTTCTTCCTCTGAATATTTCAGTAATGTGTCTGTTAGCCGAATGTTTCCCACTGACAACATTTAGCATTTCATTCAGGGTTTATACAGAAATGAGGGACTCTAATTTAATGCTTTTTAAGTCTGTCTGTCTGTCTATTATACAGTATCAGAACGATACCTTAGAGCCGGTGACGAGCCGCGCTCCGAGCGCGTCGTAGCTCATTACTGTGACCCCAGACTTGTGTCCATTGAAGGAGACGTTGCTCTCCCCGCTCAGCAGGTTGAAGATCCGCACCACACCGTCCTCGTAACCCACAGCGATGTGAACAGCGTCTGGAGAAGGACAGAGGAAGCTCACCTCGTGCTTCTGTCCCTGCAGGATCAGGACCTGGACAAAGAGAGGCTGGTGGTCACTGAGCTGCCACGACGTTTCACTCATAATCTCACCAGAATCTGCCCATAAAAGCCCCACCTTCTCTCCTTTTCGGACATCCCAGATGAAGACGTGTTCGCATGCAGCCACAGCCACGTAGCGGCCCTTTTCCCCGCCTCGAAGTGTGACGTATGTGATGTTGGCCCGCTGGCTGCCGATGACGCCGAACACGGCGCTGGCGGCGTAGCGCAGGTACTGCTTGGTCAAACCCATGACCGGCGGCCTGAGACGGTGTTCGATCCTGCAGCAAATAAAACATTTTACAGTCAGAAGCCAGGGATGCTATATATTATAGTTTTATCAGATAGCAAACAGTTAGCTGGAAAGCAGGTCATTGTGTTGAAATCTATTCTTAAGATTTTATTGAACTGGACTGAGTATATAAATACAGTAGCAGTTATTAAGAATCGCCCTTCCCAGTCTAACGCCCACAGAATGGCAGCCTACTACCCGGCGACTATCAGCCACTGGCCTCCTCCATCATATATTATTTATTTAGAGGAGGAAAGCGGGGATGAAGCTGTTGTGGAAGAGGACGCCAGGGCAGCAGAAGCCTGGTTTGGTGTAGAAGGCTTACAGCCGTACATGTTTGAGCCCTTGCCTCACAACGCTGCCAGTTCTGTTAGCTCTACGCCTGAAGATGAAGACACAGACGTCCATCCCCATGTTCACTGGGATGGAACTCAATGGGAAAGTAAATGATTGTTATTTCTTATTTAAACCGTTGCGTATATTAGCTGCGACATGAATCAATGACCGAAAACATTTGATTGACAGATGACCGTTGACATGTGATTGGCCGAATTTAGGTGTTCAGGCTGACGTATAACTAACTGGCCTACATAGGATAACGAAAAAAAAAACAGACTTTAAGACAGGATTCTTTTTAAATAGAAATTTTCTAACTTTAGGGACAATATGGTCTGATAAAAAGATTTATTTTAAACATTTATATACATGTTTAAGCCAGAATGATTTGACATTTAAATATGATTTTCCTGTGACTTTAAGTATTTTAATTTCTGCCAACTTTTCTTTTTTTTATAGTGCATTGATTCATTGGTGAATTCAGATCTCATCAAGAACATGCATGGTTCCTTTCATTCTCTATCGATTGCTAATATTTATTAAAAAATATATTTTTGTTTGCATTATGCAGTGTCTATCATGTTATTTGCATCGTTGACATGGAGGAAGAAATAAGAATATCAGCTTAAAATATATGCAAATAGATAGCCCTGTGACAAAGAAAAGAGGGGTTGAAAATATTTTACAATTTATACATTCTCTGAATTTGTCTTTTATATTCATTTCTATTAAATCTTAAATGCAAAACATGTTGGTGGCAGCGTGATGCTCTTGGCCAGTTGGAAAACCAACAGTGGGTTTGAAAACGTTTAAAGGGAAAGCAGTTTAGTGAAGCCCTGGAACGTGATTTTAACATTATGCAAAACTCATTTAAAAAATATCTACAATGTATAAACAGCATTCTAATTCTCACCAAAAGGTAAACTAACAGACGTGGTTTGTTACACAGGACATGCCGAGAGGGTGGAGTTGAGTAGTTTCCGCCGTTGAAAGAAGCCTAAGCTCCTTAAACTCCGCTCGGGTAGATTATGAGAGTTTGACAAATCGAGTGCACCTTTACGGAGCAGTCTGCGCCCTGGGCACACGTGGTGCTGCTCTCGCTTATATACGCTTTTAAAAATCGAAACAAACTCCTAATAATGTATATTAATGCTTCAGAAAACGCTGAGATATCAGTTACTATGAAGGTGTGTTTGAGCAAAGGTTGTTTTTTAGCTTACCTCTGAAATGCGGCTCAGATCTGCTTGCTTGTTTTCTTCCTCCGGCCGCTGAATCCGAATCAGACCTGACTAATCTATCGCAGATCGATAAAAAAAAAAAACATCTATAATTTTTTTACCTCTTAAACTATATGAAATATATTGCAACACATATGAGATTATTTTTATATTTATAGCTATATTATATTTGTACATATAATGTATCATTTATTCTAATTATATTATTATTCTCGTTTAAGATCAATCGTTTGCTTCTGTCTGCAATATCAGAACACAATTCATGACGTTGCTGTTCTCAGAAAATTAAGCGGATATTCATTTATTGCAACTTTTTGTAGATTTTTTTTTATTTGTAAGTATTTTTTAGCCTAAAAGTCGAAGTTAAGTGGTTTTAAAAGATGAGTTTCACCACGAAGGTCCCGAAACGACCACAGCGGAAGTGGTTGTGTCAATCAGTCAGCTGATTAAAGCAGGCGGAGCAATGAGTCAAGTGCGCGTGACGAAGATCATGCAAAAACACCGGAAGCTTGTTTGTAAGATTGACAAAATAAAAGCAAAAAAACAAAAAAGATTTTAGATTACCAACGTCTGCAATGGCCTGTTTTTTTTCTCTTTTTTTGTTTGTTGTTTTTTTTCTTTCGGGGATTATAGCTGCAGAACAAAACAGAAAAGAAACACGTCCTTCATGCTATTTCTATGGATCAAAATTGTTAAATAAGAAAAGGCCAGACTTTCCTTATTTTCTTATATACGCAGGTGAAGGCCCCCATCGTGTCCTGGACTGTTGATTACCTGACGGGCAGACCACAGTATGTACGCCTACAGAACTGTGTGTCTGACAGGGTGGTCAGCAACAGTGGGGCCCCTCAGGGGACTGTCCTATGCCCCTTCCTCTTCACCCTTATCACCTCAGACTTCAACTATTGCTCTGAGTCCTGCCACCTTCAGAAGTTTTCTGATGACTCAGCAATTGTTGGCTGCATTGAAAAGGGTGAGGAGAGTGAGCACAGGACTGTGGTGGGCAACTTTGTCACTTGGAGTGAGCTGAACCACCTATAGCTCAATGTGACAAAGACTAAGGAGCTCATAGTGGA